CCTCAGTATATATTCAAAGAACTTAAAAATCAGCATCCTAAAGTGACACAGCCACATATATGTTTATAGCAGCACAATTCACAATTACTAAGCTATGGAGCCAAACTAAGTGCCCTTCAATAGATGAATGGATGAGGAAATTGTGATATATATACACAATGGAGTATTAATCTGCCATGAATAAGAATGACTTTATGAAATTTTCCAGTAAATGGATGGATCTGAAGTCTATCATGCTAAGTGAAATAAGCCAACCCTGAAAAACCAAAGGTCGAATGTTTTCTCTGATATGTGGAAGCTAACCCACAATAAGGGCAGGGGGCATAAAAATTCACTGGATTAGACAAAGAGAAATAAAGAGAAGGGAGTATGGAAAGACAGTAGAATGAATCTGACATAACTTTCCTATGTACATATATGAATACACCACAGTGAATCTCAACATTGTGTATATCCACAAAACCGAGGTCCTAATTAGAACATGGTATATTCCATGCTTATATACTTATATCAAAATGGACTCTATTATAACCTATAACTAAAAAGAATGAAGCAAATAAATAAATAGAATCTAAACTGAATTTGAAAAGAAAAAAGAATCCCCATCACTGGGCTGGGGAGATAGCTCAGTGGTAGCGTGCTTGCCTACCATGCAAGGAGCCCTGGATTCTATCCCCAGAACCACCAGAAGAAGAAAAAAGAAATGCAGATCACCCATTTTCAGAAGAACCTTGTTGGGGAAGGAGCTGCATATTAGGAACTCCGCTGCTCTCCATTTGAGAAGATGGAAGTTTAATGAGATCCAAGGAAAAAGAAACATCAAAAACCCAGTGGCACTCTACTTTGCCAGTGAAGAGCTGGAATCATGACATCAGTTGCTTAACTTCACAAGCTCCCTGGACTGGTCATCTTGTCGTGGTCTGTCTCTTCCCCCTTATGATTGGCAGTAACCACGAAGGTCCTGGACATTATCTCCAAGGCAACAAGAAAGATAGGTGGAAGATTGTGCCCACTTACACCCATTCTTAGCAGGAAAGCACAAAAAAAAAAATGTTGATGACAACTTTAATTTCAAGTAGGAGACCAAAGCCAGATTAAGCTCCTGAAAGCTTGGGACAACACCATTCCATGTGTACAGCCAATAAGAGTCTTCAACGACTCTTACAACAGCGAGCCAGGGAAGTTCCTAGGCATTTGTTTTCTCCAAATAAATTAGAGAGCATCCCCCAAGTCTGCAAGGGTCGACCAGGGAGAAGGTCGCCATCTTCCTCCACAACCACCTCCCTCCTGCCCCTGCTCATACGCATGTTTTGTCACGCGCTTGGGGAGCCAGGACTCTCCCAACCCACACTTGCACTGATGCACTCACTGTCAGTGCTTCACATGCACAAAATGACCTGCCTCTCCTACCCAGTTCCCAGCACCACACCCAGGCTATGCTCACTTACCTGGTGACAAAATGTTACACGTAAACTCAGTCATAATTTGTGCATAATTGTATTACTGGCAGTAACAAATTTATATTTGAATAAAGTGAACTTTTCACAATGTTCTTTTACAGTTATTATTACATTGAATTCTCATCAGTAGCCACAAAACTTCTGTTAAATCCAACATCATGATTCCCATTTTACAGACGAAGATAGTAAGCCTTAGAGAGGGCATAACGTCTTCTCTGAGCTCAGCCTGCTTCTCCAAGGCAAAGTTCATATTGAACAGAGACTTGAGAAATGAATATTATTTCAAGTAATAGCTGAGAATATGAACTTTGGGATTAGATGAGTTTATCTTCCAGAGCTAGGTTTGCCATTTACAAAGCTTTATAATACGAGACAAATCACTAACTTGCAAAGCCTCAGTTTCCTCATTTGTACATTGAGAATCATGTTACTGTTTATGACCTGGGGTTGGTGTGAGGATGAAACATGATATACTTATAAAAAGTATCATGCAAAATAAGAGCTCCCCAAACAGTAAGTGCTAATGTAATTGCTATTATTACTAACCGTCATGGGCCCTAAATATATGTGGGGTCAGAAGGGAGAGTCTATTTCAGTTCTCTGATACCATATTGAATTAGAAATTTAACATGCTATGCATACATGAACTAAGATTTTGCCCAAAAAAAGCAACATATTTGTTCTTTTTCTTCTTTTTGGGGGGGAGAAGGGGAAGCCTTGTTGTGCTGTACCACTGAACTTCATCCACCCCATCTCTCAAAATATTTCTTATAATGTGAAAATAAATATAAAGAAATTTATAACAAAGTATTGATATCTCAGCAAGATACTCCTTGCTGCCTTTCTTATCGCAAAGGAATGTGACCATCCTGTGGTCCCAAAGGACAGAAATAATGGGAATAAGAGCCAGAAGGACATTGGCAGTTTCTGGGCCTGCTGTTTCAACACTTTGTGCTTAATACAAAAGCACCAGTTCTTTAGTAGGTGGCTTTCTCAGCAGGATGAACTGACCACCCGTTATTTTTCAGGGTAAGTCCCTGGTTATGATCAGATGGATATCAACTGCTAGCAGTCATGGGACTAACCTGGAGTTCGATTCATTTATTCACCAACATTTATTGAGCACCAGGCACTGTACTCGGCTTGGAATTAAAGTTACTTTCTTGTGTTGTGTTTCTATCACTTGAATACTGCAAGTAGTTTAAAAAGTGGTTTAATCTCATTTTTTCCATTAAATTATACCTGGTGGCTACTCTTAGTCCCCTACACTGCAGATGAAAAACTTGAGTGCAGAGGTGAAATAATCTGCCTGAATTGCACAGGTAGAAATTCATATAACTAAGTCTTGGAATTAGTCATATCATATTTATTTGTATTTGAAACTTCACTAAAGATTTATCTGTTATAGAAAACCTGAGCTGAAAACAATCTGTATAGAATTATTTTTAGGGGCAAATGAATAGTGCAAGCCTCTTCAAACTCTAATAAAACAGCCACAGACTTTCAGAGAGAAAAAATTTATACTCCTTGGAAAGAACCACAAACTCACAGTTGTGCAAGGTTTTGCTGTCCTAGTCCAGGGGGAATGGCCCAGAGGTAACCTATTGGGATGCTGCCCAAAAGGCAAGCACCTTTATCACTATCATCTTCAGCAAGAGCCACCTGTAAAGTGTCTTTTAAAATGGCACCTTATTAGACTCTTGGCAGAAGCCTCACAGGTGGTGTTTCTTTCTTAGGGATTAATGACAGAGACCCAGCCCTGGTAGAAGTGGATGGGCAGGACCATAACTCACCCATCATGGATGAAGTGTGGGTGTGAGTCTTTTTTTTTCCCTTACCAGCAATGTGATGGTCTTCTCAGAGTTAATCCCTCTTTTTCCTTGGAGCTAACTACAACCATGGAGCAGAGCTTTTCTCCATTCAGATCAAACAAAACTTCAACCAATGAGCCTCAGTCCCAGCATTTGTTCTGACCAACTGAGCTAAATGGAAACAGACAAAATACTCAGAGAAGCCCTGCAGACAACCAGGTTAAGAATGTTCAGCAGCTACCTGGTGTCGTGGTTACAGTGCAGGTCGCTTTAGAGTGTTAGGGGAAAGGTAGAGGGCACTAGCTCTGAATGCTAAACTGAATGAGAGACACAGGCCTCACTGAAATAAAAGGTAGTTGTTTGGCTTTGTTCTCATTTTAAGTTTAAGTACAGAACTTTATGCCTTTCCTTGACTGTCTCCAGTTATGAAATGAAACAAATATCTCCAAGAGCCTGAAAAAAACATCCTACTAGTAAATATAATCCTTATATTCATATTCAGAAATTTGCTTTTTTTTCCTGCATGCTCTGTCTCTCATACCTACATTATTTTTGTTTCTAATTTTCTTGAAAATCTAACAACTTGTACACTATTGTATCCAACCTGTTAGTAATAATACTATGTCCATGCATCCCAAGTTCTTATAGGCACACTTCATAGAACATTAATAAGACCAGAGCAAACGTTTGCTTTTAATAAATGGGAAGGCATTTTAAAGAATAGAAATGGCTCTGAATCCAAGATCTCAGTTCCTATCCTACTTATTTTTTTTTTTTTTGGTTTTTCCATGCATTCTATGATTTAGTTTAAATATTTCTACCTGGTTCTCTCTCCTAAGTTCACTCTCAACATTAATAAATAAATATATTTTATATGTGTAAAAAATAAATATATATGTATCATATCAAGACCAGATAAGTTTCCCAACAACCTTCTACTTGAAGGTACTCTGTAAGCCTATTAGATCTGACCCATAGTCATTCAAAATCTGGCACTTTGAATAGGAATCAGTACCAATGATCACAATCCCTGATAAAGCCAACTCTTCTATTAAGTAATTATTAAAAAAAATATTAATCATGTTGGCTTCTATGTACATGTCAAAGAAAACGAAAACTGGTTAGCTTCATAACCCAGAATAAATCTTACAACTTAAAACATTTCCTGAAACGTGTAGCATTCCTTTAACCAAAATGAAAGTATCCTGTCCTATCTTTTGTGACCACCACGTCATTATGTGAGCAACAGGCTACATGTGGTGCTGTAGTTAATGTGCACACCACCCTGCTGCAAAAAGTCATTAGTGGTAGTGTTCAGATAGAGAAAACTGGAACCACAGGACTCAAACGAACTTGCCTAAAATCATGGGGCAAAACAAGACACAGAGTCTCAATCTCATCTTGCTACCTCACGCAGCTTTTCAAAAAAAAACTCTGCCTTCAGGAAAACAAATAATGGCTTATTCCGATTGCTTAGTTCAAACTCACATAAGTTATAGCACCAAACAGAGAGTAAGGAAACAGTTAGTGTTCAGGCTAGTCCAAGATCAATCATGAACTTCTAAAATTGCAACACATTTCAGCCATACAGTATCTCATGGCTAGAGCCGGATCCAATAAATATACAGTTATCTGGGGTGGGCAGGGAGCCTGTCAGTGCTGTACAGAGGAGAGGCAGTCGGGTTGCCCTGTGACTCAGCTGAATCTTACTCCCAAAGTGAATTTCCACTACCAAGTTCAGATTAACATGCTAACATCATGCTAAGACTTTCTAGGAACTTTGCAAAATACCCCTGGAGCAGTGAGAGAAAAAGGAACAGCGTTTCACAGGAGAGGTAAGCTCTGAGTTATACCCTGCTTGAACACGGTAGCGCATTCTAGCAAAAAGAAAAAAATGATCAATTGAGAAGAAATAGGAGTACCTACTTGAGGAGAAGAAAGTCACTCAGAGACTGTCTTCTTGTGCTAGAGAGGGCAGCAGAAGGGGCCTTAACCTTTGCTGCCCGTCACAGAGCTGCTGAGCAGGGAGCCTGCATTTTCAGTTTTGGTAGAAGCCGTTCTGAGGCTGTTGTGACCATGAAATTAGGAAATGCAGAAACTCAAGAATAAAGAACTAGCACCACCATTTGACTGGGATTGGAAACTCTCCTTCAAATAATAAAGGCGGCGGTGGCCTTCCATCCAGGCCTGATTCTAACTTTCTCAGCACTTCCGTTTTGATAGATGTTTAACATGGGGAAAGTCATGTGTTGATCCACCCAAACTTATTTCTTTTCTTCTCTCTCTCTCTGTCTCTCTCTCTCTCTCTTTTTATGTAATCCAGCCCATTTTCTGTTTACTCATAATAAAACTTGAAGTCTAGACAAATTGGGGGGAAAGAAGTAAATAAAGCTTTCATTCAGCACATTTTGAACAATTTTGTTCATCCAAAATTAACCACAGCTAAAAGCAGGACAGAGGACACACCTGTGATCGTGGTCTTGGTAACTTTCTCTTTCTGCTCCGCACTTTGTGTCACTGATTAATGACCTTCCTGACTTTGTAACCTGCACAGGTTTAGCTCCTCTGACTTTGAACTCCTTCTTCTGTCCTATGATCCTGGCACTTTCCTGAAATAGTTTACAAGTTCATAGGGTTTTTGTTTGTTGTTTGTTTGTTTTTAACACAGAGACAAGCATTCTAAAGTAGAAAATGAGTTTTTAAATAATATTAAATTTTTTAAAATTTTAAAAGCTTATAAAAATCTGCTGTAGGTTAATGTAGCATGTACTCCAAAGGGTTTTTTAAAATACATATTAGCTTTTTCTACTCTGAAAGTCTGAGTAAGGCTGGTTTTCCGGAAGTTGAGCAGTGACCGATGAAGGGAGGAGGAGGGGCCTCTCTGGCTACTTGCACCTCTTGGTCTCCCAGCCAAAGTCCACCCGCAAGAGGAGGGCCATCTCAGAAATGACTTAGGGAAGAAAGGAAAAGGGAAACTCTCAGAATCAATGCTTTAAACATTTTTTAAATAAATAATCTTCACTGTCTTCCATCTTCTCTATATTTGTGAATTAGTCCATAAATAATTTGAATGAGCAAACTTCTCTGAGGTTAACTTTTCCAAAACATGGAGAGCAGGGAACATTTTGGTTAAGATGCAAAGTATTTGATTTAGTTTCACAAACATAAAATGTTAACAAGATTCACTTACATGAGAGATAATCATGTATACTAAGCAGTGCAGGAACTTTGTTAGCTGTTTATTGTTGTTTATGATTTCTGGGGGAAAGTAAACTTTAAATGTTTTGAGCAGTTTAAATGTCTTAAAAGCAAAATATTTTTTCTAATTTAATTGAATCCTTTCATTATTTTTTAGCGAGAATGGATGAATTTTGCTTTTCAAACAGCATTTAGTTTCCTGCTAAAATCAGTTGTGCGCATCAATATAGAGAAGGAAATTCAGAGAGCAACAGTTCTTAAAAATAGGACACTCAACGGATTCTAAACTGATTATAGATTATTTCCTTTTTCAGAAAATATGAATAAATAGTGTAAACGTCACATAAAATATAAATTAGATTACTTACCCTTAAAAGAGTATTATTGATATTCACTTACATTTCAGTATATGCTTTCTTGAGTGGAAGAGAATCAAAATAATAGCAAATGTCTCCTGGGCATATAAATACAGGAATTCTAAGCACTTTCATAGTGATGTAGGTTCTACCAAAACACAGATGTGGAGACCACGAGATAATAAGCTTAAGTACCCATACCAGCTGGCAGGAGGGCTCAAATGTGGGCAGTCCAGCTCAAACCTCACCTCACACCTTCAACACTCCCCTGTAGCATCTGAACCAACACAGGATCTCACACTATGAGAACACTCAGGTTCTATGTGTCCTGAGGAGACAGTGAAGTTTCATCAGCAAATCAAAAACAATTTAATCAGGTTGATATAGAAAGTTTATTTTGACCATTTTGATGTTTATCATCCTAATGAGTTCACTAAAAATAAAAATGTGTGCTTAGACTAACAATGTTTTAAAATACTCTGTGCTTTCTTATAGAAAAAAAAAACTTCCCTTGAGATTAAGGAAGAATCATTTTAAAATGAAGAATCATAAACTGTATTCACCACTATTAAGAGTTGGTAATGAAAAAAAAAAAACCAGAAAGAACAAGTTAAATGAAGCACTGTAATACAGCATCATAGAAACAAACACAGGACAAATTAAATCTCAGAAGTATAATTCAAAGAGCAATATCATGCCTGATTCCCTCATGCACACTTTTAAAAGGAAGAGTCATTTTCATCAAAATCATGCTATCCACACTATCTTTACTAAAAACTAAAGTGGGCCAACATAAACATATCGTGTATATGTTATAGAGTCATGTGGTTTATTAAGGAACACTGAACAATGAAATTCTAAAAATTTTTTTCAGGTTACAACCTTCATGTTTTTTTCTTTTCTTTATTTTTTTTTATTTTTTTTTTTTTTTGATACCTTCTCCCATTCCAGAAGTAGCCACTAACAACCTGGTTTCCACAAGTAAAGTGAAGCAGAAAATTGATGCAATCTGTCTGGGTCATTCAAGCAAAATCTTGCTGTGATCTGGTTGATTTAGGCTAAAATAAAAAAATCAGGTTTATGGCTTGGAATGTGTGCTTTGGTCAGACACCCCAGATGATAGCAGAGCTTGGGACTCAGATACATAGGTAATTGCCCATAGTCTCCATTTGTCCTTATTAGCAAAGATGCTTCCACTGTGTGCAGTACTCCAAGACCGTCTCAATTCCATCACACTATAAAAGCCGCTTCAAATTTCTGGTTTTCTTCCTGAAGAGCAACAAGAATTGAACTGTCCTAGCCTGGAGGCATCAATCAGTACCTGACCACCCATCTAGCCATCTTCACAGGGGAAATTGCCCTGCCCTCTACTCCTATTGCCCAGACAACCAAGCAGACACCCTTGGACTCCACGTCCCCCCACAATCTGACTACCACTAGCTGGACAGCCAATCTGCAGTCTGGGCAGTGACCTAGAACACAACCTAACAAGATGGACTTGGCCAATCATGTTGAGGTTCTCAGGAGTATGAATTTGGAAACCTACAGGGAGGTATGAGCCTCACAGGGAACGTCTTGGGATGGAATGGAGAACATAGGAAGCAAAGACCCCTAGTAAGTAAAGTTGTACAATGACAGAGAAAACCAGCCAGCTGAGATGAGCAGGCTCATCTGTGATCAGTGGTAAGTCCATCAGATAAGTCCGTCTGAGATCAGTGGCCCTCCCACTAGTATATTTTCAACTGCTAAGGTCTATTTCTGACAGGAAAGGAGAATCCATAAATTTCACCTGAGAACAAGGAGCCAAAGTCAGAGAAGAACGGTTTTTACATACAGCACAGAATCTGTGATCAAGTTCAGCTGCCCAGCTTGCCCAGACACCAGAATCACAGTGACAGAAGACACGGCTTTATGGGAGGGAAACAGCTGTAAACAAATGAGATCAGAGGGAAGCCTTGACCCATATAAGAACAGGAATCAAGAACCAGATGAGCCAGTGCAGTGGTGCATGCCCATAATCCTAGTGACTGGGAGGCTGAGGCAGGAGGACTGCAGGTTCAAAGCCAGCCTCCGCAACTTAGTGGGGCTCTAAGCAATTTAGCGAGACCCTGTCTCAAAATAAGAAAAGAAAATAGGGCTGGGGGTGTGGCTCAGTGGTTGAGTACCCCTGTTAAAAAAAAAAAAAAAAAAAGAAGGAATGAAATCTAGGAAATAGTAGCCACAGAGAATCAGGGGCAATGGGCCCTGCCCTTTTGCTGCCTTTGATGTGCATCAGCGTGGACAGCCATGGCCCGTCAATACTGGTGGCTCCTGAGAGCCCACAGTGACATTCTGCACTGAGGCCAGTTCTGCAGCACATTCTTATTCACCCAGCACCAAAGAAGTGAAGAGTCTTAAAGGGCTGCAGGCTGTAAAATGAGCAACAACCTGAGAAAACTGTTGTGTGGTTAACAGTTTTTCTCCTATATTCACCCAGACTCAGACACTCTAGGGATTTCAGACACCATTTTCAAAATACCTCCAGCCTCCAGATCTTCTGGGCCCCTCCCCCACCCTCAGGTCCTCGTCAGCTCTGGAGGACTTGACTGAATAACATCCTAAAGGGTCTGATTGCCGCCAGCCTCTCCCGCTGCTAACCCACGGAACGCAGCTTCACCAGATTACTTCCCTCTTTAATCACCCTCACCAAGTCACTCTAAATCAAATGAAGTACAAACCACTCACTGGGTCCCTGTGACTCATCTGACCCCAGCCCTCTCACCAGCCTCACACTCTGAGCCCCTGTGGCCTTGATCTCAGCCTATTCTCCATTCAGCTCAGTTGTAACCGCATTACTTCTTCAAGGTTCATGGCAAAGAGCACCTTCTCCCTGGAGCCCTCCCTGGTTGCCCGACATTGCTCAAGCCTCACTGTCCCCTCTGGGTCCCACAGTGCATTGCCTGCACCTCTCTCCTGTAGCAGCAAGTGCCTATGAGTCCTCTCCTCTATGCCCAGCAAGAACAAACAGACATGACCTTGAGGAGCTGTGCTGGAAAGGGAGAACGACCTTTCCACAGGTGAAAGGTATAAACCATAACAGGTCAAAGCACACTTTTTTTTTTTTTTTTGGTACTGGAGATTGAACTCAGGAGCACTTGACCACTGAGCTACCTCCTCAGCTTTGTTTTGAATTTTATTGAGAGACAGGGTCTCACTGAGTTGCTCAGTGCCTCAGCACTGTTGCTGAGGCTGGCTTTAAACTCGTGATCCTCCTGCCTCAGCCTCCGGAGCCACTGGGATTACATCCAGTGTAAAAAAAGTGGCCACTGTGCCTGGCCAGAGCACACTTTTAAAGAATATTCAATGGCACTCTTAGGAAGGTTCAGTTTGGCCCTGAGTTGTACCTTCCACACCTCCTACCACCAACTGATTGCAGTTTACCTGGGAATATGTCTTACTCCACCTAGATCTATGCAGTAAACCACACAATGCCTGGTTGAACATATCTTTTTTTGTTTTTGTTTTTCATTCAAATACATTTCAATCTGGATTGAAGGGGAAGAAACTCCAGTCTCTCCACCATCTGCTTCCCTCTGCTATCCTCAGTGACCAAGGAGACTGACATTCACCTTGCTCTCCAAGCAGCAGGAAAAGAGTTGGCCACATGTGGGGGTACTGCATAGCCTAACCCCAAGTGTAGCCCTGCTGGGCTTGGAAAGCTTCCTCTGTGATACCAAAACCTATACTGGAATCTACTTTTCCCCCAGTCCCAGTACCTTCAAGGTCCTTGAAGGGACAAGCAAAAGACAAAACGTAAGAAACCAAGGACAAAATTAGATAATTACACCAGAGATAGGACAGTTAAGTTGCACAGTACAGGCATTAAGTAGAACAAGAAAATCAAAGCAAATAAAGAGCATTTAGATTACTGGATCACCAGAAATGTAAAGAGTGCTTAAAACAGATAATAATATAAATGTGATTTTGAGTTATCTCATTGGCATTTTCTTCACAACTATTATATTTTAGCTGGTTACTAGGCAAAGATATTTCCCTTTCATAAAACCATTCTGTGTTCCACTGGGAACTGTCCTCTGGTTTGCTTACTCCACCCTCCAAAACAAACATCCACATGGGTAGTTCCAGGGCATTTAAAACCCCCCTGAAATCCTGAACTTTTGGGTACATAAGCACATGTGTATTTTTCTGAAGGGAGAGTCTGGAAACTATCAAATTCTTAAGGAAGCCCAAACAAGATTAAGAAGCAAAGGAACTGGGTTTCTCACTGTAAAGGCAACATTTAATACAACGCAACATATATTGTTATTGTTCCTTCACAATTTGTAAACATTGCCTATGCCTCACTTTTCCTTTCCAAATTAGTGCCTTTTACCAAGTTGTTACAATTTTACAACTCACATTTTCTCAAAGAAATTGGAATGGTCATTTCTCAGTTTTGAAAATCTCACTGGTAAAACTCCAAAGAGATCCTGATTTTCAAAACTTTAGGTCTTCTCAGCAGTTACCACGTTGTGGTATGAACTGGCCCCAAGATTCAGAAAGAATGACACATGGACCTCGCCCCACAGGGGTCCCCCTCTGTCGGCCTTTCCCACCTACGAAGCTTTATACTTGAGGAAATGGAAGAGGCAAAAGTCAGCCTTAGCATAGGGCAGCGCCCGTGTCTGTTGGGCCAGTCGGGGGCTTTTTATTTTTCTCATGTAGGAAATAAAGACAAAGGTATGAATGAGCTGAGCCACCAGTTACACAAAGAGTCATTCAGGTGTGAGATGCAACATAAAAATAAGAAAACCTAGGCTAGGAAGTAAGGGCTGAACACAGCACCAAGGTATCCACCGTCCCCCCATGACAGAGTCCACGCCTGTGTTTGCAACTCCAGACTCTGAACCTGCTTCCAATGCCTGCTGCCGAGTTTTGCACTTGGCCCTGTGTGCGCTGCAACAGCAGACGTCCAGCTTCACGGCCTCCACAGCTCACGGGGAGCAGGTCTTCAGGAGTCCCCGCAAGTGCCAGAGGTGGGGCCTTGTTTGTTCTGAGTTGAGACGTTTAAAAGGTGTTTGGGCAGCGTTTGTGCTTCAGGAAGGAGGCGTGAAGGCAGACGCTGCTCCACGTCCAGCTGTGGCCACCACTAAACCAACAAAGCCACCAGCCCCTCGGAAGCACCAGGGCAGAGGAAGCCGCCCGTCCCACAGAGCTGGTGTGCTGTTTATTCAGGCAGAGAAAGGATAGTTATTTCAACCAGCAAGAGAAATACGAAGTTATGTAACATTGGGGATCAGGAGAATGAGGCTTTCTTTTCCCCCCTACTTTTTCCTGGAGAAAAGTGTTGTGAAATAGTCCAGGAACAGCGTCTAGTTTCCACAGGCACTCATGCTTCCAGAGGCTTCTATCTGACAGGATCAACAGAGCCTCAGGCACAGCCCCGTGGGACCCTGCCCACCTGCCACTGCCCCACCCCCACCAGCAGCATGACACTCTGGCCACAGAGTCCCATTAGTCACTTCAGAGAGACTCAGTACAATTGCCCTGAGGCGTTTTTCCCACCTCACACCCCAGTGCGGCCTTAGAAAGAATTGGTATTTACATGGTCGGCTGCACAGGAATCATGCAAACAGAAGCTCATGCAGGACTGGGCTGGACCAATGTACTGTAATTCCAGGAGCTGGGCAGTTGGTGGGGGCTGGGGGTATTTATTTAAATGAAAAATAAGAAGGTGAGCTCAGGTGAGGTCTCAGCCAGCAGATGGGGCCACAGAAGAAGGGACAGAGGGGGCGTGAGGGCTGAGTGAAGGAGTCCACACCAAGACCCCAACTGGCTGAGTAATCAAGGACAAGGAAGTGGCCAGCAGCCATCCTGGGCAGTTGGCAGGGCTCCAGTGGGCAGTGAGAGTGAGAGAACCATGCAATAGACTATGAGAATCTCCAGTTCTCCCCAAGTGGCTCATGAGGACTCAAGGCTGAGACTTGGTTACAAGGGAGCTAGGCAGACCTGGCCACTGGGAAGGATCTTAGAAATTATGTGAGAGACCAGTTCATTTTTTCAACACAAAGTTATTTATTGAGCACCTACAACATGCCAAGCATTGACCTAG